TTAAACCAAACAACAAACACATGGATGTGACATATGAATAAGATATGGTCGTCCTAGTAGTGTGGCCACATAGCAAATTATGTTGCACCTTCTCCACAATAGCCTCCCATTGTTGGTGGTGGTGATGGCGGGGGTGACGGCGGATGCCCCTTGTTCTTTTGATTAGGACTAGTGCAATATGGATCATTGCAGAGTGTCTCCTGTGATTCGGCACCATTGTTGTTGTCGTCCTGTTCGTCGTCCTTTTAACCGCTGCTAACTTCTCTTTCTAGATCGAAGATATGGTCCTGCAGGTAGTAGATGTACTCCACATACGAATAAATAGGTCGAGGATCGACCCACCTAGTGAACCCATAGTTTTCTTCGACCAAGGAAGACTGCAATAAGTATGTCATGTAAGTTGTATAGAAGAGGAACATGTTGAAGAAACAAATAGTAATAGTAATTACCCATGCTCGTGGGCATTTGAAGAAACGACGACCTTCATCTATTCTCTCGGTGAACATCTGCACTAGGCAGTCCTCACCATACATGCATTTTGGCCACTCTTCTTTCCATTCATCGTATCATCTCAGTGGTGCCTTTTTGGTGAAATCACTTTTGCTCTCAACTGGGAACCTCTTATAAAGAGCTTCCTCAAAAAATCGGGACCAAGAGAACCCTCCCACACAATGGTAATTCCCTTCCCCTTTCCTCTCCCTCTGGACGACCCTCCAGACATTGGTACTGCAACAAAAGAAAATACTAGTTGAAAAGTAAGTAGAAATGCATCCAGCATTGCGTATATATATGCAGAGATAGGTTTAGTTGCCGTTTCAATATGTTATAACTGATCACAAGAAGCCTAATTAGTTTCACTGAAGAGCCTATTATGTAAGTGAAGTGATATATCGCTGCCGTCATCATACTCCTCGTCCTTGTAACTGAAACGCCTATTTCCATTATCTGAAAAGCCTAGATTCGTTCGTTGTTTCTGAAAAGCCTAGGTTGAATGTGTTCATAGGGAGCTCGTCAGCTGGCTCCCAGCATAGCTAGTTTTTTTTCCTTTCTTTCTTCCAGACGAGACGGAGAAGAAGCTAGGCTAGCCTAGCTCTAGGCTCTAGCTAGCCGTGGATGCAGCGCGCAACGAAGTGTTCAAACGGAACCGAGGAGGGGGAAAACGATGCATACCATTCTACTTTTGAACCAATCCAATTTTTAAAATTTAATGAAGTTTATAGAAAAATGTATCAAATGTCTCTAAAGTATAAATAGATTTACCATAGGTTTACATTTTATGATTAACCTAATGTTTTTTATTTGATATAATACTAATATTACTATTTTTCTATACAGATTTGTCCAAGCTTGAAATTTACATGCTAAAAAAAAAACTGAGACTTTGGTGTGCGTGTCCCTTTCCGACGTGGCACTGTCTGCCGAGCTGGAGAGATAGCTCAAGCACTCACTCTCGCTCTCTCTTTCTCTCCGGTAAATTCATCGCTGGCCAGCCTACGACGACCTAGGTGAACAATGAACTCGACCTGGCCGTGCCACTGGACCCGATCGGATCCGATCCGATCCATCTTCTACTGGCGTGCCGACTTGAGTGAGGGGAGGAGGTGGTCAAAGTAGGCGCCAAAAGTAAAAGGGCAGGCACGGCCAGTAACCAACGGGCAGAGTAATCAATTAATTATTAATCCGTTAATTATTATACTAATCGGCTAGGCTAATCCGCTGGACTCCTTGGACGCAGCAGCAGGAAAGTAATAGCTCCAGCACGCACCGGCCGTGGTGGCGGTAGGCCAGGCCAGGTTAGGTCTTCACGTCGGGAGACGAAACTTTTTTTTTTTAATGGCACCACGCCACGCCACGCCAGTAGTGGTGGTGGAGGGGGCAAATTATCGTCGCTAATCTTAATCTAATCCAGCCTAATGTAATGAGCCGGTAATAATGATGAGGGCGGGCGGGGCGACGAGGCCGGCCGGGGGGAGCTGCGGCCGCGGCTGCCACAGGAGACAGCCCTCCCGGTCCTCCTGGTCTAGTCCTAGGATTATCGCTGCTCGCTGCAGCCATGTGCGTGCCTAGGCCTTGGCGCCAGCCGGACGCCACGCACGGCCACGGGGGCTGTCTAGTTTAAATTAATCGCGATTAAGTGAGGAGGCCGATGGATGAATTAGCTGGAGTATTAAACTAATCATGGAGGGGAGGGCCCGGTGGAGATGCCGAGACGTGATGCTGCCACTGTTCGCCTCGCCGGCTCGCCCGCTTTGCTACCGAAGAAGTGGAGCAGTGGGGACTTGTTTATTGGAGATTTGGAGGCCCCGTCCCCGGCGACGGGAACAGGAGCAGGCCGCGCCCCGCGTGCCGCGACACCGCCGCGCCTGCCTCCTCTCTCCCGGGCGGCCGCCCCGTCGACGTCAGCCTGCCGTATCACTACCACCCACCACCCCCCTCTCGCCACGCCACTTTCTGTTCCTTTCACACAGCAATTATTGCCCTCCGTTTCCTTCTTCCTTTCTTCTTGATGGTCGTGGTTAAACTAATCCTCGCGATGAGGTTGTTAATCTCCCTCGGTTGCTCCCTATATTATCTCTTCCCTCGCCGTGATGGTGCGCCCGCACGCGACCTCTGCTGACCTCACCTGATCTGCCTTTTAGTAGTAGTGTTTCCTCACCACCACCATTATGCGCTAATGACAGCCAGGGCGTGAAGTGAAGGGAAAAAAAGGCAGCACTGGCCACATATCATTGCCGCCATTGCTCTGACAGAGTCATTTGCGTGCAGGCATAAAGCTCACAATACATACATCTTTATTATTATCATCTTCTCCGTGTAAGCTCCAGGGCCAACCAGCTTAGACAACTAGGAGCGGTACCGTCAGCAAGTTGTGCATGAGCAAGGTGTCCTCGTTAATGCGCCCCGGCGACCATTCATGCCTGCCGCCAGCGTTGGCGCGCTCTTCCTTTCTTACCGCCCAGGAGTGGAAAAAACCGTGCGCGTTCGTACGTGCAGGACTTTTCGGCCGTGCAAGGCAGGGGCAGGCAGGCAGGCAGGCAGGCAAAGGTTTTTTCCTCCATCGAATCGATCGATTTCCGTTTACGGCGTCGCCCTGCCTTGCCTTTTCTGGGCGGAAATAAATTACTCTGGACATTGCTTAACGCTTCCAAATCAAGCTGTGCTTTGCTTCCCCGACGATCCAACCCCCTCTCTCCCTGCCGTGTCCCTTTTTTTATCTCTCTTTTTCGTTGTTTTCTTGGTATACCTGCATGCATGTATCGCCGCGTAGAAAAGCGAGGCTTATCGCATTTGCCCCCACTGGTCCACGGCACGATAAAAACGCAACGAAACGAAAGGGAGCGCCACCGGTTGCAAAAATGGAACGGCGCTGAGGTGCCTCCGAGTCTTCCTCGCTGTCGATTTCCGCCAACCGGAAAATATCTCCTGTTTTTTGTAAAAAAAAAGAGTAGTTTTTTATGTGGACTGAAAATTCGTCGAAGACTCGAAAAAGCGACGTGTCAGTCGGACCATGGACTGGCGGCGCGGTAATTCCCTCCGTCACCTCACAAAAACCTTGCTACTGGTTATTCCCGTTGAATAAAGGAAAAACTATCGGTGCGATTATGACCCATTCACATTTACTGTGCTGGAGTACGAGTAGTTTCGTCCCTATTGAGTGCGATGTAACGTTTACCGATATAAGACGCCTTTAATGCCCTATTTAGCGTAGCTCTCCGGTTTGTCTCGACACAATTACGGACCTGTTTAGATGAGTTTCTTCAAATTCCTAAAAACCAGTTCTCGGCCTCTAATTTATAAAATCTGGATTCTGAACAAAAATTGACAATGGTGTTTGGATCCTTAATTTTTTAAGAATCGGCTTCATTTATCGCTCATATGGTCACAAGAAGCTAATAAAAGTTGGGTATCAATATTTTCTTGTGTTCTAAGAATCTGGCAACAATTAACACAAGAAATTGGACAAAAACTAGGATGTTTGGATCCATCTAGTTTTTAAAAATCAAATTCTTAAAAACTGGAGGAATCCAAATAGGGCCTACACTAGCAAGATCATTTCTTTCTCTTCTTTTCTAAATGAACTCAATTTTCATTTTGTTTTCACCACCTTGCTCCTCAGCAAGACAGCAACCATAGCGGACAGCGGTATACCTTGCCAAACAAGTTTTAAGAAACCTTGACTTGAAAGGCCACTCACAGTCAGAGATGAGTTCCATCACTCGCAGGTAAATTCAACCTTCAACCATCAATCCCCGCTATTTTCAGTTTTTCTTCGGAAAGAAAATAATTTCGTCACAAACAAGTACCAGTACAGTAATAATATTTGTAGAGTAAAAACAGCATAGAGCAGGGTGGTGCGGTGCAGAACAGAAAGCATTGTTGCGGCGTTGGAGCCCGTCCGTCCGTCCGTCGCCTACGAGTTGCTCCTCCTACGGTCCTACCCCACCTATAAAGCTGCGCGTCCGTCCGTAGGTGTGGTGAGGTGCGCGGCAGCGCCCGCCACTGCTCTACTCCTGCAGCCGCTGCCCGGCCACTGCACCGCACCGCACCCACCACGCACCCCGTCTCGCTTTTGCTGCCGCTGCAGGCCGGTCAGACCAGCCAGCCGCACACACGCAAGCACAGGCCCGGGCCCACGCCTTCGCCAGCCGGCAAACCGGATCGGACCGGACCGGGCCGAGCGAACCGGTTGTCCAAGCCAACTCGGCCGGGTCACCACCGGCTTTCTTTTTGTCCGAACGCCACCGCTGCGTCTCGTGGGGGGTGTCTATCTCTACTCCCTACAAAGAGACCACACCAAATCCTCCCGTCTCCCCTCCTCTCCTTCCTCCGCCCACAAAAACATTTCTCCCCCTCCGACTGCTACTGCCGCTGCCTCCTCCCCCCTTTCCGCCTGCCTTCGCTCTCCCCCCTTTCCGCGCGCCCTTCTCCTCCGTCTAGGGTTTCCCACCCCACAGCCGCCGCCGCCGCCCGATCCAAGGTAGATGCCGCCCGCAGCAGCCATGGCGCTGCCGTCCCAGGCCCCGTCTAACTCAGGTACGCACGCGCGCGCCAGATCTGGTCAGCTCCGGCGCCCCGCTGCCTTCTCTCTCTATCTCTGTTCGTGTTCACCGTCTTCTCCAAGCAGAGCCTCGTGCTGATGGTGCCTTGCTCAGTTCCTGCAGGGGATCCGCTGTACCCGGAGCTCTGGCGTGCCTACGCCGGTCCGTTCATCACTGTCCCCCGCATCGGCGACCTCGTCTTCTACTTCCCCTAGGGACACATCGAGCAGGTACACCTCCTCATCTTCCCGCTCTTGCTCTGCTCCCGCTGGAGCTTTAGCTCGCTCCCCTGCTCCGGGCGCTGATTTTGGGTGCTGGGGGCTCTCAGGTGGAGGCGTCCATGAACCAGGTCGCCGGGAACCAGATGCGCCTCTACGATCTGCCCTCCAAGTTGCTCTGTCGCGTGCTCAACGTCGAGCTCAAGGTTCCCTCCTCTTCCCGCCGTTTTTTTACCCTCCCCGGTTTTTCGCTGCCAATTCCGCGTCTAGCGCGGCCGCTTCCCCTGCGGCGAGCAATTCCAGGCCCGGTGCTTACGCGTTTTCCGGTTTTTCCAGGCGGAGACGGACACCGACGAGGTCTACGCACAGATCATGCTCATGCCAGAGCCCGAGGTAGCCTCCCAATTCGGACGGCACGTGTATCGGGAAAATTTCCCTCGGTACTCGGAGATTCTCACTTGCTCTCGCTCTGTTTGTTCGTTCATGCAGCAAACCGATGTGGCGGCTGAGAAGGCGAGTTCTGCGTCCGCTGCGTCGCCGAGGCCAGCAGTCAGGTCCTTCTGCAAGACGCTCACCGCCTCCGACACCAGCACACACGGCGGCTTCTCCGTGCTGCGCCGTCACGCTGACGAGTGCCTCCCTCCACTGGTGTGTGTTCTTCACCCCTTGTGGATTTGGACTATGCTATTAATAGAACTAGAGATGCGCGAGCTTCTGCGTAAGATTTTTCTCGTCGGGTCAGCTGATCTTCTTTGTTCCGTTGGCAGGATATGACGCAGTCGCCTCCCACACAGGAGCTGGTGGCGAAGGATCTGCATGGCATGGAGTGGCGCTTCCGCCACATCTTTCGTGGTAATTTGGGCTCCTCTCATTTGCCGTGGTTCGTACCTGTCGTGTATGCTATGGGACTGATTGATTTGTTACACCGTTACTTTCGATTGTCTGTGTGATGTCGATTTATTCAGTATTTTTTTGTTTAGATTATCCATCTGTTTCTCTGTGATTTATTGTATCTGTTATGCTCATTGAAAAGTGCCTGATGTTTGATTGTTAACTGTGCGCAAAATCCGTCTTCAGGGCAACCTAGGAGGCATCTCCTTCAGAGTGGTTGGAGTGTTTTCGTTAGTTCCAAAAGGCTTGTTGCTGGAGACGCCTTCATTTTCCTCAGGTCTGCTGTGTTTCCTGCCTACCCAGCATGAAAGCAATTCCCGATCTGGTGCTAAGTTTCTGTTATTCCTCTTGCAGAGGAGAAAATGGTGAACTTCGAGTTGGTGTTAGGCGGGCTATGAGGCAGTTGTCTAATGTACCTTCTTCAGTCATATCTAGCCAAAGCATGCACCTCGGAGTCCTTGCGACTGCATGGCATGCCATCAACACCAAATCCATGTTCACTGTCTACTACAAGCCTAGGTATGTTGACATGTCTGCAACAAACTGATTACATTTCTGAGACTTTACAAATTGGTTTACCTTGATAATCTTGCATGAAGCTATAACATGCAATTTGTTCTTAATAAAGGTAGTTAACTTGTTGCTGATCTCTAAATATCAATGTTAGGACGAGCCCTTCAGAGTTCATCATACCATATGATCAATATATGGAGTCAGTAAAAAACAATCATTCTATTGGGATGAGATTCAGGATGAGGTTTGAAGGGGAAGAGGCACCAGAGCAGAGGTAACTGTCTTATTGTTCTGTGTTTTGTAGCTTCATGTCACCTGGTCCCATCATTGTACCTGCTCATTATTTGTAGTTACTTATTAGGTTTACTGGTACAATCATTGGCTGTGAAAATCTTGACCCACTATGGCCTGATTCGAGTTGGAGATACTTGAAGGTAACTGCTTATTCAATGTTTATTGTTTCCATTATGGTCTTAAATCTTACGCTGATGAAGGGTTGCTTTTTTATTTATTAATTATAGGTGCGCTGGGATGAGCCTTCTACAATCCCACGACCAGATAGGGTCTCTCCTTGGAAGATAGAGCCTGCTTCATCACCTCCAGTTAATCCACTCCCACTTTCTTCTAGAGTAAAAAGACCTAGACAAAATGCTCCTCCACCTTCACCTGAAGCATCTGTTCTCAAAAAAGAAAGTAAGTTTACTAGATTGTTCAGTTACAAGAGCAATGGTGACTAAAATATAGCGAGGCTAATGCTTTACAAATCATCTTGTGCCATTTGTAGGTGCAGCCAAGATCGATATCGACTCTGCTCAAACACAACATCAAAATTCGGTGTTGCAAGGTCAAGAGCAGATGACCTTGAGGAATAACCTGACTGAAAGCAACGACTCTGATTCCACTGTTCAGAAGCCGATGATGTGGTCCCCATCGCCCAATGGGAAAGCCCACACTAATTTTCAGCAGAGACCTGCTATGGAGAATTGGATGCCATTGGGAAGGCGTGAAACTGACTTCAAGGACACACGTTCTGCCTTCAAGGATGCCCGCACCGCCTCTCAATCATTTGGAGATACGCAGGGGTTCTTTATGCAAGCTTACGATGACAATCATCACCGTCTTTCTTTCAATAATCAGTTTCGAGATCAGGGTTCAGCTCATCGCTTATGGATCCATACTTCTATATGGCTCAACAACCTTCTCTTACTGTTGAATCAAGCACAAGGACACAAACAGCAAACAGTGACTTGCGTTTCTGGAGCGACCAGAATATGATCTATGGTAATCCAGGTGATCAACAACAGCAGAGTTTCAACTTTGGACAAAACCCATCAAGTTGGTTGAACCAGCCATTTCCCCAGGTTGAACAGTCACGAGTGGTCAGGCCCCATGCAACAGTTGCTCCTTTTGATTTGGAAAAGACTAGAGAAGGCAGTGGGTTCAAGATTTTTGGGTTCCAAGTTGATACAACCAGTCCATCTCCTGTCCAGTTGAGCTCTCCATTGTCTGCTATCCGGGAACATGTGGTACAAACTCGACCATCGGCACCTGTGAATGAATTGCAACCTGTGCAAAATGAGTGCTTGCCTGAGGGGTCTGTAAGCACAGCTGGAACTGCCACTGAGAACGAGAAAAGTATTCAGCAAGCCCAGCAAAGTTCAAAAGATATTCAAAGCAAGTCCCAGGGTGCTTCGACAAGGAGCTGCACAAAGGTATTGTTGTTTTTATGTTTGTGACCATGCACTTGCCTAAATTGATTTTATTCAATTTTTGCATGTGATTGGGAATATTTTATCAGTTATTTAAAAAAATACTTTTGACCTCTCTAGATAAGGGAATATTGCTATATGGTTTATAAATCCTTTGGGTTTGGATCCTAATCGTCCATATCTGCACAGGATCTTGAGTATCCCATGCCTCAAAGCTGTGATTTTCACTGACACTGGTCAAATCAGCCAATAATGGTTTGGCGGTCTTCCTAGTTTGCCAAACATTTCCATTTGATAGAATTAAATTAAAAAAACAAAAAGAAGTCAATTAACAAAACATGCCTGATGATACATGTCATGGATGCTTTCAGTCCATGTAGACTGGCTTGATTGCACCATTATAGTTGTATGTATAATAATATTGCATGATTGCTTTGTGGCTGAGCTTATATTTTTTCTGTAGTCCTATCCTCTGCAATTTACACTTCTGCTTTGAATGGTTTTCAGGTTCATAAGCAAGGAGTTGCGCTTGGCAGATCTGTGGACCTCTCTAAATTCACTGACTATGATGAACTCAAAGCAGAACTAGACAAGATGTTTGAATTCGATGGTGAACTAGTATCTGCCAACAGAAACTGGCAGATCGTTTATACTGACAACGAGGGTGACATGATGCTTGTGGGAGATGACCCGTGGGAGTAAGTCTTTATCTTACTCGTAGCTTGATACATGTATGCGCTTTTGTTCCAATGTTGACACCAGTTCATTATTTATGAGCAGAGAGTTCTGTAGCATAGTGCGGAAGATCTACATCTATACAAAGGAGGAGGTCCAGAAGATGAACTCAAAATCATCTGCGCCAAGAAAGGAGGAACCTCTAGCAGCTGGTGAAGGTTGCGCCGCCCCCAAATGAGTAGGATGTCTGCCTGCCCTGCAGCAAGCAATTTTAGATAACTAGGTAAGTCCTCCTTTGATCCTCAATACTTACTTTTTTGCAACAGTGATGGCGAATGGGTTTTAACTGAACTAAATAAACATTGGATGTCTCTGTTTAGTAACTGTAAATGCATTGCTAAATTCAGCATCCGGTAGGCTTAGCTCTTCTAAAACTTGTCTCATGATGTTGATTCTTGACCCCGAAAGCCTCTGGTCACATGATACTTATGTTTGGCATGATAAGCTGCACTGAAAAAGGAAAAGGGGCTCATCTTTCGTTTGTCCCTTTTGGCTTGCGTGTAGGTTGTGTGAAGGAAGCCGACGATGCATTGTGCCGGGTGCCCGGGTCCCAGCCAAGTAACTCCTGAAATCTTTTGCTTGTCCGTAGCCACCCATCCCGTCCGTTTGGGTTTTAGTAGTGAACGTAGAACTGTCTCCATTTACTTCTCCGCAGTTTGCTCTTGGCAGCAAGTTTAAGGGCCAAGATTAGTACTACTATTGTTATTGCTGATTTGCTCTTCTGCCTAATGATGTAAATATTTATGTACCCAGTCCCAGCCAGTAGTAAGTAGTAGCAAGCAGTAGCAGTACCTTTGGTATTAACGAGCAGCTATTCGCGGTATTTTAATCCCTGTAAGCCCAGCTCTGTAGCGTGAGATAAATGGCAAAAACTGGTATATGTATGTCTGATCTTCTCACTGAATGTATTATAAGAGTTATATAGAGGACCTGACCTGTGACCTCCCCTGAGTGCTGTGTGATGCATATGCTTAGTGCAAATCCGTGTCGTTTACACCGTCTTCGTGGCGATGATAGGGACCTAAAAGCACACACTGTCTGTATTTGCCATCCATATGCATGATTGGGGCATGGGAATGCAGGGCAAGTGTATGGCGGGGCCCCTTTGCCCCTCCCTCCCCTTATCGTCTTGCCTGCCTGGTGTCTGGTGATGCAATGCAGAGGAAAGCGAAGCAAAAGCGAAAGGCAATGGCATTAAGGCAGGCAGGGCAAGGCAACTGGAGGTAGGACTCCTGCCGTGGGCGCGATTTCTGTCCCTTTTGGTGTGTTTTGTTAACTCACGGAACCGAGGAAGTGGTGGTGGTGCTGTGCTATTTTTGCAGAGAAGAAAGGAAAGAAAGGGTGCCGCCGTGGCGTGCCGGGGCAACCAACCAACCAGGCGTGTGTGGCTGACGCCCATCCCGCCTGCCTCCCTCGGCCCTGCGCCCCTGCCTGGCAGCCTGTCTCTCTCCCGCGACTTTCCCGTGGAAAAACAAGAGCGTGCGGCACGGCCGTCTCCGTGGAAAAGCCATCCATCCATCTCGCCCAGTTGGCGCCACTGGTACCGTGTCGTGTTTAACCCGTTCGCCTGGGTTGCACTTCCAGTGGCGCTCGTGCTGCCAGCCAGAGCCAGCCATCTCGCTCCGGCGGTCAACGTGGCTGGCTCGGTGCTCTCATCCTGCACTGCGAATTTGCGAAATGAAATGCGCCTTGGACCGGCAGGGGAGAGAGGAGGGGAGGGTTCACCGGACGGGACACCTGGTGTCGTGTACTAGCGTGGCTGGAAACTGGAAAGGGACCTGCTGGCTTTCGCGATGTGCGCGAGGGTCCCTTTCAGCGCGACGAGAGGCCGAAACGTGTCGGCGAGGTTCGCCGCATGCTGATCCGATCGATGCCTCCATGGGTCCGGACCCCGGAGGATATGCTTGGTTGGGGCTTGGGTGGTCGCCGGTTGGTCTGGTCGGGGCGACGACAGCAGAGCAGGTCAGCAGCGGCCGTGGAACGTGCCAACTGCCAATCCTAAGGGCGTCACTCACTGTCGTGGCCTTGTGGCTGTCGTAGTAGCAACAGTGGATGTGGATCCATGGTCTGGCGAGCAGATGGTACAGTGCGCCGCACCCAGGACAAAAGCTTTGACCGGAACTGGGGTGCTGGGCCTGTCTCAAAACGATGAACTTATCTTCTTTTATTATATATATACTCCTATACTATTAATGTGCTACCGTATATGCTATGCTTATATGAAAGAAAAGAAACAATTGTTGGTCCTCGTCACCCTAACAGTTTTGACTGATCCGGACGTGGCGGGTGACGACGAGGGCGATGATCCGGTGCGATTCTGGTACGGCTCGCGCTGTCATCATGGCCTTGCGCACGGCATGCACCGCTGCTACCTCTGCCGTCTGCTGCCTGCCTTTGTCTGTTGCACTGAATCGAGAGTGGTAGTACGGTGGTGGGCCGGAACCCCACTCCACCCGAGGCACACCTATACCGTCCTGTAGTCGCACACCAGTTATTGCTCTGTGGGACGGTGGTCTGGTGCTACTCCACTCACTGCTGCGCTACTGTACACGCAGCACTGTGGACTGTGGTGCGGACGAGGACGGCGAGCGTGGACAGCAGCAGCCTTCACTGACTGGCTTGGGCGGTTGGGATGGATGGGGATCCTCTTCGTTGGTATGGTCCATCACACAGCCGAGAGGCGAGGCACGCGAGCCCAGCAGCAAGCAGGCCACGGCCCACCACGGAGAAGGGAGGCAGGCTGGGGCCCAACCGATGCGGGCGCGAAACGGCATCTAGGCAGGCTCCGCGCCAGTCCAAGCGCGTCAAGACAAGGCCGTAGCCGCCCCTCTGCCCGCCTCCTCCTCTATGGAGTACTACTCGTCGTGGCTGTTGGGGGCCCAGCCTCAGCTCTCAGGCTACGACTGCCACACGCCCACACCGCGTGGTCCGTCGTCTCGTCTCCCACCTCCCTCGTTTTCCTCATGCCGACGACGGCGACCACCACCACCAGGCGTGTCAGCGTGTGGTGTGTTGGAGCAGGCAGCAGAAATGGTGCGCTTTGGAGGGACTGGAGTCGCCGATCGAGTCCTCCCTGACCCTGCCAAGTGTGAAGTGTGAAGGAGTCCGGGCCGTGGACCCACGCTTTCGTTGATTGTCGCCAAGTAGTAGTACCTGCTCTGGCTGGCCGTGGCCGGCCGGGCCGCCGCGTGGGGAGACCGGGACGGACGGAGAGCGTCCAGGAAGACGGAGACGGAAACACGCGTCGGCACTCGGCACCGCATCTTTGACGTGGCTACGCCGCACGCAGACGCAGGAGCAGTCGAGCAGACCGGGCCGGCGGCCGGTTGTCGCTCTCGTGGAAGAAGAAGAAGAAACAAAACAGCACGACGTCGACTCCCCCTCCTCCGTCCGGGGTCCATCGGAATCCGGACGGCGTGTTACGTGCATGCATCCATTCCGGCGTCGTCGTGGACGGGTGGACCACTGGCCTCTGGTCTCATCCTAGGACGCGCCATTGATCGACCCTCCATCACGCGCCTACCTACGACTTCGTGGCGGCGCAGGTTTCAAGAAAATTCCAGTCTCCAGTGCAAGAGTGACCGGCAGACTGCTTGCGTGTTCACTCGGAATTGTCAGCTTGTATATTGTATGCAATGCAACTTCGGAAACCGAATGCAGAAGATGCTACTGCCTACTGACTGTACCACACAACTCCATTTGTTGCGCTCTCCTGTTATGTGTTCACTCGGAATTGTCGCTTTCATTTGACGCAGAAACAGTCAGAATTGTAACTCTGGAACTGAAACTGCTTCTCAACATCACAGTTCACAGACTTGCAATGACCCAGTGTCACAAGGCCAAAGCTCAATTCTTTCTCCTGGTTCGTGTATATATATACAATGTTTGAATTTGACTTTGAATAAAAAACAAAATATCAAGTTTTAAGCCAGAGGTGTTTGAACCAATACTTCCTCACCCTGATTCATTCCCCGAGACTGAACAAAACACTTCACACCAAAAATGCATGATACATGGGACCACATTTTTTTTCTCTCTCGAATGATGCAAAAAGCTCCATGTCCTTTGATTAAGGCCTCTGAAATAAAAGAAAAGCATAAGAATTCTGGAGGATTTTAATCCTATAGGAGAATTCTCTATGTCCATTTGAAAGAAAAGACAACTAGACTAGTTGAAAACCCAACATGAGCCCCTATTCACGTCAATCAGCCTGTTCGCTTGTTGGTTTCAGCCAGGGCTTATCAGCCAGCCAACAGTGTTTTCCTCTCAGAACAAACTGGCACCAGCCAGGCTTATCAGCCCAGAAACCAACCAGCGAACAAGCCGAATACCTCTTCAGGGCTTTGTTGTGATAGTCGATCACGCTGCCTGGTTGACATTTCCACTATATTACCCTACTTTTTATCAAATAAAGTTTAGTAGCTACTGCAACTAGGTGGGTCTGTGCTCATACGAGTTATTACATTTCTCTTTTTATAATAAAAACCTAAACATTTGCACTATATGTATATGTTTGTTTGATGTGTAGTGTATGGCTTATATTTTTGTCATTTGCTGGGAGGTCTATGCTTTACGAAGTGAGTAAATAGATTCTTAAAAACATTACATCTTTCTTATCTTCGTCAGCTTGAAATCCAAATGGTAGCATTGTAGCTGCCACAAAAAATGATTGACTGATCCTGTCAACGAATTCATGCATTGCATGGATTACACTCAGCCCTCCAGCACCATTGTCCGACTAGAATAACCTGGAATTGGACTGAAATGAGTTAGCATGGCACACCAATCTTCAACATTGTTCTTAAATAGCTCCTTAGCTAGCTGCCTTAAGTATGTTTGCTGGAGTCACATAATTTCTAAATTTTGTTTGTACAGCACTGTTGTAAGGTATATCCTCAGGTGCATGTTATCCACTTATCCTAGATACAGTGTCAAGGATCATAACTTAAGCACAGCTTATGATTCAATTAAAATAGGTTCCACTTACTTTTGTGCAATATGATACACCTTTTATTCAAAATAACATAAAACATTTTGCCTATGGCCATTTACACTGCAATCCGTAGTACTGATATTACAAATTGTGGCGACATATCATTACTTATATTCAATGTGTTGGCAAAAAGGAAGAACAATGCACGTACCTTCTCCCCCTCTGGCAAGGTTGAAATGAGGTCTATGAGCGGCTTGTCATACTGCTTGAACGACCGGATTGTGTTGGGATCAGTAGGATCGACGCCACCTCCGGCAAGGTCAACGCATGTAACACGGTAGCCACCTCAAGGAGCCAGCGGAGCTTGAACCAGCACCAGGCTCCATGCCCTTCACCATGAACAAGCACAAAGTGCTCCTTTGCCGCCATTCCCATCAGTCTGGCCTCTGCCTACCAATCTAAGGTTAACTATTTGATGGACGTGCAGCAGGGGAGCTGCATTTTCATGGCCAGTCCAAATTAAATGTCAAACCGGCAAGGCGTCCAGTGATTTCCATTCTAAATAGAGAGTCTCATGACAGCAGGTGTCTACGTTTCTGGCATGCAGAGTTGCCTAATATGGTAGATGATCAGGATATAGCGTGTGGACCAGCAAGTTTTTCTCCTTTTTTCCCTTGTGTGTTACTGATAGGTATATATTTAGCCTTCTGTCCTCATGTTTTTTTTTCTCCTTGCGGTCTTACATGCACTTATCATCACTCGCTTTCACCATGGTACATGCATGCATCATCAAATTTGAATTTCAGAATATATATGTCTTATGGTTGTGGGCTGACAGCCATTTATCGATAAATAAACAATAACTTGATTGGCATACTGCATACATATAGCACCACTGAAAGAACAGAACAGGTGGAGCCTCCGATGGGATTCTGATTACGCTACATCAGCGTTTACAGATTACATTGACTTGAGGATCAGCTCGAAGAGACGCTCCGGCGCAGAGAAGAAAGGGCTGTGGTCAGTGTCCATCGCCACCACCTCGCTCGGCGGCCACCGTTGGATCATCGCCTCCTGCTGCTCCGGCTTCACCATGTGGTCATTGGCTGTCTTTATGTACACCCGACGCACTGTGTTTACTTCACTCTCGGCTCCGTCATCGACATGGCCGAACCTGGCAGTGCTCAGAGCGGCCGGCCACGGGCGCAGCAGAATGGATGCAAGTGTGGAGTCCTGCAGAAATGTTGTTCATGGTGGTGAGTTCGTTCGCTGAGACTTATCTTGCTTCCACAAATGAATAAGAAAAAATGGTTCATTATATTAACCTCATGGGAGCATTGCTGATACAGGATTGTGCGCTGGTGCTCCTCTCTCAGCGCCACACTCGTTGGAGGGCGGTCGTCTCCCAGACTGAATTTCAGGTCGTACACATCACCAAACTCGGATAAATCAGGTACCCCCTGTTGGTTTCAGTCCAAGTTTCAGAGAATACTTACAATACTACTTACTTTCTGTTACCAGATATAAATAAGAGTTGAACAAAGCAATAAGCATAGGGGAAGTGATGAATCACATCTTTTATATCTTGTTCCGTTTGGTACCCAAACGGGAGCATGGTTGCTGCTATGAAGATGGCTTGCTTGATCTTGTCTCTGAACAAATGCATCGCATGGGTGACGCTCAGTCCTCCTGCGCTATGCCCTACCAAAATTACCTGACAAGCAACAGTAACACTGGAGATATCAACCGGTAACAGAACTAATGGACACAAGTTTCTAATACTAGTATTTGGAAGGTAGGCGTACATCAGTTTAGTTTCTGCATATATATATATGCGAAACTGTGGTCGTCCGGCAAATGGTCACTCACCTTGTGGCCGTCCGGCAAGGCGGCCATGAAGTCGGTGAGGGGCGCGTCGTACTCGTCGAACGACCGGACGTCGTCCGGGTCGACGAGGCTGCCGGCGGCCCCGGTGAGGTCAATGCAGGAGACGCGGTGGGCGGAGCCCCGGAGCAGGCACGCGAGCTTGAACCAGCACCAGCCGCCGTGGCCGGCGCCGTGGACGAGGACGAAGTGCTCGCCGCTGGCCTTGTAAACCTCGCCGCTGGCCTCCATCTTACTTGCAGCTTTGGTTGTTTGCAAAGTTATTCTACGATCGTGTGTGTCTATGCGTATGCACTATTGTGTATATATGCATGCATGCATATATACGGCCATATGTAATACTCCTATGTTGCTTACGTTTGAGACAGGCATTTGCAACCAAATGTGAGTTGAAATGGTCAATCGATCGATGTGCAAATCAGGCCAAGCAGATGAGCGTATGGAATCGGCCAATTGGAACAATCGTACGTCACGTAATCACATTGTGCACACGTGTGCAGCTGCCCTAAAGTTTATGATATATATGATCGTTCCTAGGGTCATAACACCAAATTAGACTGCAATTTGGGCATATCTATTTTTTTAATAAAAAAGTACAATGCAACAACTACATTGATTTGTTTGCAAGTAGGGGCGTAGTTTAGCTTATGTCAACCTGGGTAGTTTGTACGCCCTCCGTTCCATTGTTCTTGTCGTTTTATAAAAAATGGCACGGTCTTCAAACACATGGCTTTGACTATAACTTTTCTATTACAATATCAAAATATCAATAACTATGTAAATTTATGAAAGTGCTTTTAAGACTAATCTATAGAAGCTATCTTATCATCTTAAAGCTTTATGTCAACGTTTTAATTGCTATACATTGTTGAATAGTTCCCGGCCCCATCGGATTGGAATATGTTTTTTTTATCCAATCGAAATATCTTATCTTTTCACTAAAACAATTTACCTGTATTGGCAAGCCAATGGAACACCACCATTTCTATGATTTTCCTTTTATTAGTTTTAGAGCAAAGTTTTAGGTGCCAAAAAAGAAAAAGAAAAATCAAAGACAAGCGAATGGCTGTGTGGGCCATGTGTGGTTTAAATGGGCCTGCACGTACGGGATTAAACCCTACAAAATTCCTTTAGATTCCTATGGGATGTAGAAAACTATAGGAATTTTAAAGAACAAACAGGAGGTTGGACATCATAAAAACTTTACTGTCTCTCTGAAAACTCACACACTTTTCTTGTGGTGCATCCAAAGGTTATAGTGGAAACTTTCTTGTATTTTTAAATTTAAATTCATGTTAAACTGTGTAAAGCTCCATGCAATTTTTCTATTCCTTTGTTTTGATAATGCTACATTTCATAGTAAAGACTTATGAAAAAAAAAACAAAGAACAAGGACAAGCCAACACACTAGAGCCTCAACCAGGAGCGACAGAAAACACCAGAAACAGATATCATTTGCCACCGCTTGTAAAACCATTGGCATACTAGGACTTGGTGCCTTGAACACAAATGCATTTCAGTGCCTCCATAATTCTCAGTGAACAAAAGATGACACATTTTTTATGAGTATTACTCCCACCGTTCCAAAACATATCAAGTTCTACAACAATCATAAATCAAACCCTCTTAAGTTACATTAATCATAAGTCAAACCATCTTATGCTTAACCGGCTTTATTGGAAAGGATAACATCTATGACAGTAAATAAATATATTATGACATATATTTCATGATGCATTGAGTGATACTAATTTAGTGTCATAAATATTTTTTTAACAAATTTAGTTAAATTTAAATAGTTTGATTTAGTACAACTCTATAAGTTGATTTAATTTGGGACAGAGAAAGTATGACGAGGGAGTCAATACCTTTTCACGTCTCTTAAAAACTCGTACATCTGTCTGTTCACCACAAGCATATAAACAATACACAAGGATATCTCCAGCAAATACTACAGCCGGAGGCATTAAATACCTCGACCCGTACAAGTTTAATACGAGTTCTCTAAAACTACAACAAACAATAATACAAGTTACACAGGATTACACATCTTGATAGCAATGCTCTTGTCCTACTCCCAGGTGTCATTCTCTGTAACTGTAAGCATGGCAACGTATGTCTGGTAACCGCATACTGGTTTCAACATGCAAGCAGACTGATAGCTAGACTACAAAATTTTGCCCACCTTTTAAGGTAAAAAAATGGCACGCTATCCTTTTTTTGCTTGAAACCATGCCTTATTGATGACTCACTCGTTTGCTATCATACAATCTGTATTGTGTATCCTTATGCCGCTCAAGATATAACCGGCAAACGCATTCATTTGCATGTGTGGATGGATGCGCGATGGAAGGACCTGTATTGTACATAAGGAAGACCAGAGTTCTTTAAGTTCCTACACCAATACTTCTTTGAAGGGGGGCTAGGGCACAGGAAATAAAAAGCAATAGCGCATCTTTCCAATCTGTTGTAACTGTTGAAACATGGACCATCATGTGGGAAAGTACAAAAGATGACCTAGCAATTGTGCATTTTTCCTATCTGTTGTAACTGTTTAAACATGTACCATCATGTGGGAAATTACAAAAGATGACCTAGCAGCACATAAATTTTGTTTCCGAAATTAGCCTACTGCATTTTAATAAGCAAATTCAGTACACATAATACATTCACGTAGCCAGGGTTCAGAAAGCTGCAATCCAATAGCCATCTTTGATACTTGTAAGCTGTGCATGCACTTTGCAAGAGGCTGCATGAAGATATAGACAAAGAAATAAGGAACTATGACAATCATATTTTATAGAAGAGCAAACGAGAGATAGGAAGAAACAAAAAATGACTTTTCTCCACAACACATGTTATCTCAGGCATGAAAAGGATGCTCTATGTTGCTTTCCAGACACTTCAATCAAGATTCTAGACAGCAAAAATTCTAGCATAAATGCAATAAACAAAATGAAATTTAGTTAACACGTGGCATGCTTCTGTATCAAGATCAAGAAATATTTATATTTACTTACATCAAGATACTGATGATATATATCAAATGGAGCTGAATAAGACAAAAGTGGAAGCAGATCAGCGACAAGACGCTCGACTTCGTGGCCAGGGGCACAAACAATCAAACTGCATTAAGAAGACACCATCATGTTAATTGGAATCTGTACTATAATAGAAGAACAACTTTCTTCTATAACTTGTATTACCTACTAAAGCCATGTTCCTTCCAATATTTCATCTTCTCTGGTGATGGTGCTTTTCCAGCTTTAGAAGATTTTGAAGCATCTAAATCACCATCACTGCCTTTGCCATCTACAGATTCACATAGCATCCAGAGATCAAAACTTAACTTCACTAGAGCATTTTTGGATTCATCAACTTTTTACCTAATGAAGAGTTTTCATCTTGAACAGGATGCTCATCCAACGAAGGCTCTGAGACCTCCATATCAGTTGGCTGATCTGTTGATAACTGTGCCTTCTCATCTGACACTGCTGTGTCAACTTGCTGTGCCAAAGATGCCTAGGCATCCTCATCTGGTACTACAGCAGGCTCTACCATCTCCCCTTCAGCGCCACCATTGAGAAGAGAAGGGGTGTTCCCAGAACTATGCATTGAACATAGGTCACTAAGTGGCGCCTGAACAATCCTGTATGGAAAGTTTATCACAACATTTTCAGACACAGTATAACTTCAACTAAATCATGGATGCTGACTACTTCTATAACTTGAACTGCTTCATTCATATATCTCAAGCTTGAAATAAGAATCTAGTATATGACAGTATGGACCAATAGTCCAAAAGAAGTGATTGGTTATATTAAATTGGATCGTAAACAATTAGAAAATCCAGTTTGAACGGCTGTATTCATGAATTTGTACAATCCAACAAGGTCACAACTGGAGAATAATTCGTGCTTGAAATCTGCTGATAGACTAATGGTGAAAAGCCCAATTACAATTTTATAGTTCATGTGCTCCGAATAACTCATGCTTCGTTTCTGGATGGCAAATGTGCTATTAACTTGATTAGAAGGTCACTTTCCATAACATTGTTATTCCAAAAGGAAATTACCTGCTGACCATATCACTGCTCAAATTGTACATTCTTATAATGTCGATGCAGCAGGGTGCTGAACCAAGATATGTGCTGCAAACATATCCTGTACCTGTTAATGTAATGAACAACATAAAATATTCGTAATCACATTAGGATTTACATAACCAATGCATTATAATGTCTATACCCAGAGAACACCAAAAAGCAGTTCTAATCTAATATATATTTAAACAAAATGATGAATACTGGACGTTGGCACTTAGGCACAATGGCAGTCACCAGGCACTTAGGACTTACATATTTAATGAATATAGCTTGCACTTTGTGGCAACAAGTAGCGCAACTTGCACATTTTAGTGATCACATGCATAGAAATTTTATTTATTGGCTTACTTATTCCTCATACCGAAAGCATAGATCAAACTGTTACAAAGCAAACTTCACCAAAAATCCTGGTGGCTTCTAGCTGATCATAACAGGGTATTAAGTGGAACGTTTAGCATCATGTAGCCAATAGAGCTTAACTGTATTTAATTCGATAACATCCATTAAGTTTAATCTTATTGAACTAGTAGTAAAGTAAAAGAGAAACATATTTTACCTCCTAAGCGTTCAGCAACAGCTCCAACAACTAAACCTCCAACCATATCAACAACAAGCACATCTGAATACGCACCAATGTTTGCCATAGACAACAAGAGAGATAGTGTGTCAACTCGCATAAACCTAATAACCACAGAAAGAACAGCATAAAGTGAATGAGAGTAGTACACGTTAAGCAAAAAAGAAGAAATTATATATGAGGACTGAAACAAAACAACAGATGCCACTTGTCAATGAAGAAAATAATTACCCTATATGAGCTGGACTTTTCTTGAAGTATGTCTCACAAATGCTGCACATGAAAATGATCACAAATTATCCATATGATCAAAAAATGAATTTAAAGTTGACAAAGATCCAGCAATCACATTTTCAAGAGCATGTGCTATGCCAAATAAAAGTTATAGTAGAATATTACAAAATAAAAGCAAAAAATTAGATAAATCAAGCCAAATCTAATCTAATACGTAACACTTGGTAGTGCAAGGGCAAGGCTTCATAACAAAAATATGGAAAATTGGTATTTCTATTAGAAATGTTCCTCCTTCACTCTTGCCAACGAGCTAATTGGCATTGTAACTATTACCTGCCACAAAATATATTTTATTCTCCAAAGAACACGATATCATTCATTTCAGTAAAGCGGGAACACAATAAATATTGAAACAATAGTGTTGGACATGCTGACTTCACATGTCAAAGGCTAGAAAGTATAAGTAGTTTCATTTGCATTCTTCATCTCCCAGTCTGGTCTGTACCCACTCTCTAAACATGTTGCATGACACTTTTTTAAATATAATTGAATGTATTAATAGTCGTACAAAAATCACCATGTTACTTTATCTCTTGTAGAGAAAGCATCAGGAAAATAAATACAGTGAAAGCACATTAATATCTGGTTGCGTACATGAACACATGTCAAAAGTACAGCAACGTAAACCAAGGGTACACATCTCAAAAACAACTTGACATATTTGGAGACTGTACAAAGACTACTAGAAAGGTACCTCCGAGCAGAAGGGCGTCACAAAAGAACTTTAGGTGCATATTTCTTTTGTTTCTTTAACTTGTACTTCTCCTGCAACCAAAATGATTTAACTAAACCAATCACCAACACTTTTGAAACTTCAGGAGACCAAAGAAAATAAAGTTAAGAAATTATTGTACTAACCTGTGAGAAGACAGTTTTCTTTCCAAATGTTGAGCTATTTGCTATTAAAGCTTCCACAATCTCATCACCAGTTGCACCATCCCTGTTTTATAAAATCAAATCGCATACAAATTTGCACATAAATCACAGGGAAAAGAGAACAAAGCATAGCTTATATTCAATAAAAACCAAATATGATCAGAATCTCACCTCTTCATTGCCTCTATGTCATCGCTAGATAAATTTTGAGCCGCACAGGGACAATTTCATCCTGCATTTGGCCATCGGCACCATCTCGCGTGTTATGATCTAGATAAATGAGTCATTGTTACAAATTTTAGATAGTGTGCATAATGATGAGTACACCATGAGAGAGAGAGAGAGGCATTAGTTAACCACGATAGTAGGAATCATTGCAGCATGATGCTTATCTTTGTTAAAAAGAAGACAAAATGATTTGTTTGTAGGAAACAGGGGCGAAACTACGTGTATTTACTGGGGTCAGCCGACCCCTATAAATTTTGGCAAAACATATATAGATTCATTCACTGTTTGCTAGTACATTTTATGTGATGATCAATGGAGCTGACCCTGGTGATTTTCATGCCTGGCTTCGCCCCCACTAAACTAGTTCCAAAAATTAGGCTTTCATGAATTAGGCACATTGTACATATGGCGCAATGGAACAGCAACGGTACAGAACTTGGATATAGATGAGGCCCAATAGCTGACTAACTATGAACAATAACATGCTTCTACTATGTTTTCAATTAATTGAAAATTGCACACTGAATGAAAATAGAAAAAGCTTGAGCTTTACAAGTAGTAAAAGATTAGAACTTGTAGAGCTTTAATAAAAAGGTTAACTCGAGCTGGCAATTCAGCTCGACAGAGGCTTCGAATCAGAATCTATCCTTACCACGAGATGTGGCGTCCGCGGCGGCGCAGGGGACGAGTCCGTCGGCGCCGAGGCGGAAGAGGGAGCCATTGTTCCCAATCTTCACCGTCCTGCGCGCACACAAAGGGTTGGTTCGAGGGGGAGGGGAGTAGCGAAGTCAGGGAGGCGGGGGAGGGTAGTACTGACGCTCCAGGGGTGAGGCGGAAGAAGGCTAGGCGGTCGCCGTCATTGATGTCGAGGAGGACGCTACAGCCCTCCCACGCCTCCCGGCGAATCGTCGGCGGCGGCGGCGGGTCCATTGGTGTTGGGGAGGAGAGGGAGTTGGAGTTGGGGAAAAAGCGAAACGACAAGCGAGGGTTTATGGAGAGAGCGGGTCGGGTTGGGTCGGGTCGGGTCGGATCCCACCCAATCAGACACCGCACCAGAGTTGCTGGCGGGCGGGCACGGGGCACCTTTATGGCCAGGCCTGTTTAGGACCAGTGATTAGCTAGGACTAATATAATGTCCGTGCTAATATCACGGTTTTATTTTAGGGATGCACATGAAAACAACCAAATAATGATGTTTTTTTTCTATAGTTCAACTTTTATACCATTGTATTTGAGCATGTATACAATCCGAAAAACCCTTTTTTATAAGACATATTTGCATAAGAAGGCATAATAAAGTTATTTCTCGCATTAACTATCTAATTTACAATCTGCGCAAGTCCTTGAACATGTTTTGGAGACCTTCACGGAGCTATCAAAAACATTCATTTGCACGCCAAAGTAATTAGACTTTCACCCATCTTTCCATGTATCAGGTCGTATGTCCCGAGGAATGTTTAGAAGGCTTCACACCTGCCAACAGTGCAACGTTGCAAATTACACAAGGTCAGTTCCCACACATCAGCACCTCATTTGATAATGGATGCCAGAAGTATAACATATATAATAAAATATGAAGGCCAAAAATTAAACAACCAATAATGTACTTATATTAATGCAAATGAAATAAATTTAAATATGAAGCACAAAAAATAAAATAGTTTGAGTATACTCACCGTTAATCAACAGTTTAGGACGTCTTTATAAACAATATTATTCATGCTGTTCTCAGTGGAATCCAATTCGTGATTTGGTTTAGCCAAAACTCTTGTCGTTGATCGTGACACACCCCTCGACAATGCAACAGGTTCTAGAAGATTGATCCCAATATTTGGGATGGTTTGCCCTTGCGCTTTATTGATGCTCATTGCAAAACTCAACCGAATTGAGAATTGTTTCCTCTTCAACTTGAAAGGGAGTGAAATGTCATCGGATGGAGACATAGGGATCCTAGTTATGAACACCTTCTTTCCTTGATGTTGCCCACCAACGATTTCTGCGTCAATTGCATTGTCTTGGAATGTTCTAACCATTAGTCTTGTTCCATTGCACAAGCCATTGTTAGGATCAAGATTGCGAGTAGGATAACAGGGCAGTTGGTTCTTACTATTAGCACAAGTGGAGGGAGACCAGTTGGAGTGATGGAGTTCAGAAACTCAATTGGGTAGTTGTTTCTTGAATCATCATCAACAGAGTTAAAGCTATGATAAACCTTCTCCTCACTTGGAAACATGGCAATCATCTTTGAGTTTAGTTGATCAACATGCTCATTTTTTGTTGAAAGGATGGCACGTGTGCTCAAATATTCCGCTGATCTCGCATTTTCCTGAAGTGATGGGAAAACACGTTGAATGAGTTTGTTTATGGAATCTTCATTGTCTGTATAACCAATCACAATATCTTTTGGCAGGCAAACATAATCATATCCGATGGTTTGTTCAGTTCCATTCCCAATTCTAAGGAGGTAACTTGAAAACCATGGGTCAGTTTGAGTCCTCATGTTACGTATCAATCTGATCTTCGTTATATTGTCCCACAAATAAGATCTCCGCAATGACGCATCAGTTACTTGTGCTCTAGTTCCACGTGGAATCACAGGAAGCACTTGTCTAAAATCTCCTCCAAACACCATAAACTTACCCCCAAACGGCAGGGAACAATTCATAATATCTTGCAGAGACCTATCAAGACACTCAATCGCTTGACGCCTTGTCATAGCAGCTTCGTCCCATATAATCAAGGACGCCCTACGGAATAACTCTGCGGTGCTGCTTTGCTTTCCAAAGCTGCATGTGCTATTCTCAGCAAGTGTAATTGGGACTTTAAATCTTGAGCGTGCTGTGCGTCCTCCAGACAATATCGAAGCTGCTATGCCAGAAGAGAAGTTGCAGTAGCAATTCCTATTAATCCCTCTGAGCGCACTCTAGCAAGAATTGCCTTGTATAGGAATGTCTTTCCTGTTCCTCCTGGACCATCAACGAAAAACACTCGGCTTTTGTTATTCAATACATGATGTATGATTTCATCAAATCCTGCTTGTTGGTCGTTGTTAAGAGATTTATATATATCCAAATGTTCTTGGTCTACATGTATGGAAAGCTCCTCTCTGACCTCTCTCATCATGTCATTGGAAAATTTAACTGTTTGACAGAAAGTAATAAAACATCGGTTTTCATGAATGCAAAAATGTTAATCATGGTAGAAAAAATATCCTATTATTATAAAAAATAAAAATTCGTTTGCATGTAACTTATCTGCATCATTGAGCTCCAGAAGATCATAATTTCTGATATCCTTCCCTATCGACTGAATCATTTCTCTAATGTCTCTTAGCACCATTTGCTCGACTACACTTGAGTTAGAATTGTCTCTACTATAATCCTCAGACAATGAATCCTTGTGTTTGTCCCATAGCTCACGTACGTTGGTGGCCTCACAAAATACAAGAATAGTCGCAAATAATCTCCGTAGTGCGGCTGGCATCTGAAAAGTTTTAGCGTCACTCAATGCGTCACCTAGGGTATTATCTGTCTTGATGAGCCCTCTCTTTTCACATGTTTCTCTAAAAGTAGGGTATGTGATGCCACCCATTGTTCTTAAATCCTCATATGAGGTTGCACCTCTTACATGGTTCACAAGCACTCTTAAGAAATATCTCTCCCCTTCTGCTGGGTGCGCATACACAATCCTCCCAATCTGACCTAGCTACTTCTTTCTTCTCTGCCACACCTTACGACCACTGATCCACCGGTAGTGTTCTGGGAACTCCCTATATAATAATATCCTTGCGAAACTATCAGCACGATTGATCTTGAAGTATTCCGTGAGTGTAGTCATAGTTGAAGATGGCTTATTGATAACATCTTCTAGATTTTGAGACTCATCAATAATGATAGACTGCATGTTTGGTAGATGTAACTGGAGCTACAAAACAGAGGGATATACACCAAAAAGATGAAAACCAAAAATCCTGTGTACAGCTTTAGGGGGTGATATGTATCTAGCATCCCGGTACCGACGGATCTCATTGATAACTCCAGCAAGGTCAACTGAGAATTCAGCACGGTCGTGGCCTTTGTATACATATTTAAACAGGTACTTCAGGCTTTGATGCTTGAGCATGCTTCCACGTTGATGTGGCAATTATACCTCATAAGGAGTCCAGGATTGTATGGAACTACCCACCTATTGTCTAACTCAACACCTCTTATTTTCACTCGACGTCCATCATCTCTCCTCCTATACAAAGGATATGAATCTTTGCCCTGCTGTGTTGCATCACAAAATTGTCGAGGATACTGAAACCGACAGGCGCCATCAACCATACAAGGACACTTTCTCTTTAAGACTCCACACGGTCCATGTAGCATATGCTTAATCACAAGTTGGTGCAACACAGGGTACTTGTCCTTGTCTGGTATCTCTGCACAAATAACCTTGTCGTATACATCAGGGTTTGTCAACTTACTTCCTGAGTTCATAATCAATAGGAGGTGTTCATGGGGCAAGCCCCTTTTTTTGAAATTCCGTGACATGCACATAGGCTGCAACATCTCCAAAGTACTTTTTCTTGACTAATAAATCCATCAATGATCCTAACTTGGCCCTGTATACTCTTGAAACCAGGTCTGGTCTGTCCTGTGGTTGCTGCCCAGGCTCAAGATTTTCTGTGATCTCCTGCCAGTGCAGATTGCATGCCTTGGTGATGAAATAATCTGGTTTGCCAAAACGCTGCACAATGGTCATTGCATTAAGGTACCGTCGCATCATGTCACGATTACCACCCGGAAAAGACCGTGGCAACACAATTCTCTTGCCAACTTCAGAAGCTCTGGTCTCTCCATTAGAAACTACATCAACCAGACCCTACATCAACAAGCACAATAAACCCATTTTCAATGATTATTTAATCATGACATATATAATAAAATATAGGAATATAATTTTGCAAAGAAAACATTTGCCTCACCTGATACAGTTCAGCCCGTATGAGCTTCTGGTTTGCCGGGTTAGAATACCAATCAAGCCTCATACACTCAATCTTGATATACATGTCGAGAACCCACTGCTGGAAAAGCCGCCCTCCGAATAACAGGATGTTAAAAAGACCCCGTCTGACTTGCATTAAGAAACAATAGTATTCTCGAGCTGTCACAAAGCTTCCAGATTGATTTTCCTCCACCAGGCTACTTAAGTATTCACCTTGTTGTATGTCAAAGTTGTTTTCGGCCTCATCTGTGTAGTGTGAAAAAATATTAGAAAAAATTGTACCACCATGAGTTAGTTAGATCTGAATTTAATATAATACATGGATATTATTTGACCTGTAGGGGCATGTTCTAATGTCTGCACAGAAGATGGTGTGTCACTATGTGTGGCACGTGGAGTAGTAGTAGCCTGAACGGTAGATGATCCATTATATGGCATAAATTTATTCCATCTAGTTTGTTCCCTAGGATGAAATATAGGATATGACAATGGATCATAACAACCATGGTATGCTTTGATATACAGTGGGCGATCTCCTCTTGCATACACAAGCACACTCCTATCAAAACATCTCTGAGGGTCATTTCCTTCGGTCCAGATAGCAGCAACCTGTGAAGATGTCGGTGCATTGTACCTTTGTAGTGTAGACATAGCGATAAGCGAAAGAAGAACTAATTAGATTTATAAGCGAAGGTAGTAATTACAAAAAAAACTCAGGTAGTGTGGTAGACAAGGTACCTCCGTTGGTCTGGCATGACATTGGTGTTTAGTTCAATTACGTAGTCATCAAGATTTGGTATGGCTCCAACCCTCTTGAAGGTGTGAACATAAGGGTTGTCCTCTAATATCTTGAGAACATTTCTTATGAGGTTGATATCAAGGTCAGGAGATCTCCGTGATCTATGTGTTAATGTTTCATCTGCTGTATCATAAAAGTAGAGCTGCATGTGCCGCAACCCTTTGGAACCTGGCACCAAATGGTCGAGTCGGTGGTACAAGGAACCTTGCACCCGGAATGTATAGATACCAGTTCCTGCTGCGGTGGCAACTCGCCGATCCAAGGTAACACCAAAGGTCGTGAAAGAGAAATGAGAGTTGAAGTAACGTATGTGTTTTCTGAAATATTTTGCATCATTATCTACCTGACTGGTAAATAACCTTTTTTAAATCAGCCGGCACTTCACGAATATGCACATGAACCTTTCCATTTCTGCAACAAAATCCTGGTGGTTCATATTCGAACCGTATCGCCCCACAGTGCCTGCAATTAGGTACTTTTTTTTTCAAAACATGATGCTGATCTGGTAAATCCTGGTAGACGTAGTCGTAAGGGTCATCGGCATCATTATCACCAACACCATTGCCATATATACGGTATGACTCGAATCCATCTGCATCAAAGATATGGAATTTCTCTGAATACACACGGTAAAATTAATTTAAATTTTAAAAAAACGATGATTCATGGTGTGACAGAGGTACCTTCCTCACGAAATTGCCTAGTTTCGTCGTCCTCGCTCTCATCTTCCATGTCTTCTACGTGATCTGTTACATGGTTCGTGGTAGCATGGCATCGGTAAAAAACTAATTGATATGAAGTAATGGTATTTGTGAGATTAAAAAGCAACCCACCTTCTTCTTCATCATATTCTTCTAATTCAGGGTGTGCAGGTTGGAACAAGGTAGTGTCATATTCATCTACCCGATCGATGCTTCCATTTAATGTCTGGAGAGGCGGTGATACATCTGTAGAAAAAAGGTGGGCTGTCACTATGCCTCTGTGGGTTGCAAAAAAAAGTGGTACAAGGGAAAAAACTATGAGGCCACCTGTGGGTTGTGCATTGCTGTTTGGAGTATGCTGCATGGCCTCATGTGCACTCATTCTCTTATCCCTTGCATAGTCCCTTTTTTTCTCCAATAATTTCTGCTTTTTTGAGTCTTGCATATAGTTGTACCTCTCTCTTCTCAGTAGCTTGTTGGCACTTGAACTGGACACTGATGAGCAATTTGTTCTTAGGGTGACATATAAATAAAATGAAAAAGATTCAACCATACATCAGTTAGTTATCGTAAAAATGTCAGTAAATGCCACACACCTGGATCCTGAAACATTTCAGCAGATTGCTGAAGTGCACTATCTCCATACACTTGATGCCTCATTCTGACATAGTTATCATTTCGATGCAACCATTTTGGAGAATGACACGGGTCTTGATTATCTTTGTCTTGGACCGAAGATGGCCCAATAAAAATTCTGGAATACCCCGTCTGGAACGGTGACTGTTGCCCTACTCCGGCCGAGGTTTCTGCCATATTCATGACGTCAAAAACAGTCATGGTTGGGGCGGAAATGCATCCTTCGCCCGATGGTTGCAGAACGACCGCTGTCCCATAAGTTGAATGCGCTCCTCCAACGGTGTTATTTTCTGGATATTGCGCCGCTGTTGAAGTAAAAAGGGCAAGGCCGATGAACAAAACAAACAACGCATATCATTTGATGTGTTTGAGGAAGAAGATCGTGCACCTGGTTGATCCGATGCGTTTGAAAGTGCATTTGATTCAGCCTTTCGCCGAGCACGGTACTCATGCTGCCTCTTATTCCTATCCTCCCTTTCCTCGATGGTTTCTTGAGCCCTTATCCTGGCGCGGTACTCACGTTGCTTCCTATTCCTTTCCTCTCTCTTGCGTTGTTCTTTGCTGCAAGCTGTTGATATGGTGGTGTTTATACATGGTGTTTTACATATATCTTGTGGCAATATGTGTGTATGCATTTACCTGGAGTATGTATGTTTGTTACATCCTGAGCGCAGTGCATCCCTCTCCTGGCGTCCCCATTTTGTCCTTGAGGTCTGGTAATCATAGAGACGAAATTCGGAACTCTGAGTTAGGCATCAAAATTACCAATCTTTAGACCTGAAATACAGACCAATAGGAAGCATTGACTATATAATGTTTAAGATCACTATTTCTCAGGTTCAAGATTGATCATCTGGATGCGAGTATTTATGAACATAATTTTGAGATTTCTGCTAGGTGATTCTGGTTGCATGACTGTAGTTGCACTAGCAATATTAAATCAGTTTACAGTGATTTGAACACCATACTGCAAGCGACGAACACTTTCATCAGACATAACCATTGCATAAGCTCAACAGCGAATCTTGAAGGCAACGTTGAGTTAAATCTCAAGGCAAGGTGCAGCATACGCTCTTGAATCATTTATTACACGATGAACAGGGAATCATTTATTGGTAGACCTATACCAGCGGCAACAGCAGAAACACATACGCACACACCTGCTCGGCCGCCGGCTGCCGACTGATCCCCACCCGCACACCCGTTCAGTCCTTCAGGCCGGTATCGTGCAGAAAGATGGAGTCAGGCAGGGAGCGCAACCTCCGGCCACCGGATGGAAGGGCGATGGCGGGGGCGTCCGCCTGGCGCGCACGGCCGCGACTGCGAGCGCACGCGGCACGGAGACGGTGGCCCGGGGATCGAGCGCGTTGGTCTCGCGCGGAAGTCGAGCGCGTGATTCTCGTGCCGGCTGCCGTTCGCTGGGTGCGGGATGATGAGGATTGGGGAGGAGGGATGATGACACACGCGATCTTCACCGTCCGATTTGAGTGATCACCGAGAGAGAAGGCCGAGAATAAATCTGGACGGTAGATTTTAAAGGTGTCGTTTTCTGGGAGACAGACTAGTGATTAGTTCAGTTCTATTTGGATCACTAGACTAATAAGTACTACTATCTCAGCACAAAGTCGGTTATACCCCTGTGTGCTTGCCCCCGTGTGCTTGCCGCTGCTCTGCCTCAGCTCGTCCGCAAAGGCCAGGAGCGAGAGAAGATGCGCCGCAGACTCCCGGGAGAGTCGCGGGACGAGGCCCACCACGACATCCCGCTTCGGCGCGAGGACGTGGAGCCACCGCCGAGGACGAATCGGTGCCGGGCGAGTCCCAATCGATGACAGCGCCGGACGAGCAGCAGGATTCGGCTACCAGACCTACTCGGCCATCCCTGCGAGCAGCAGGAAGAGGCCGGCCGGCCAGGGGCGCGGCGGCCGCGGCGGAGGGCGACAGGGGAGCGGCGGCTGCGGCTGCGACTGTGATAGGGTTGGGGGCGCGACAGCGGTTGCGGAAGGGTATGCGGAGTCTTTTTGTCGAAGGGTGCAAAAATTAGCTCTGATAGCTGGCTTTGATGGATCAGTGGTCTAACAACTAGTTAGAGCCTGGACTGTTGTTAGTTCAATAACTAGTCCATCTGTTTTGATCCTTATAGGCTAAATTTTAGCCAAATTGTTAACCCGTATTTAGTTGGTAAAAAGTTAGAAACTTGGTTACTGTAGCACTTTTGTTTTTATTTGGCAATTAGTGTTCAATTATGGACTAATCAGGCTATATAATGCTCAATTAGTTTTTCAACTAAACTGTGTAATTAGTTTTTTTCGTCTATATATAATGTTCTATACACGTATCGTAAGATTCGATATGATAGATATTGTAGCATTTTTTAGGAAAACTTTTCGCAAACTAAACAATGGCTTAGTCCATCGGATCATACAGACCTATACGCTAGCACAGGCGCGGCGAGCACTAGCACAGGCGCAGTGAGGAACGGCAAGCAGACGAGCGCGGCCGCCGGGTCCCGGCCTCTGATACGGGAACGCGCCAATCTCCCCTTGGATCGCCACTGATATCGACGAGCAGGCAGCGGAGCATGCCCACCTCCGCCTGGACCCAAATCCAAAATTTATTTGTTGAACATCCTGTACACGTGTTAGTAACCATCATCCTGGATATTTGATAGGAGTATTATAAATACTAGCAAACATGAAATCTATCAAACGTTCTACCTGTTCGCTTCAGCTTGCTGCACGGTGGCAGCGGATGCAATGGCTCTAATTATATAGGTGTTACTGTTGTTGAGAGTGGATGCTGGAGCCCGAGCGTCCGTTGCAGCAATCACAAGTGAACAGGCCCAAATGGGAAATGAGAGCGTGAGCGTTACATATCGGTATATTTTTATCATTTCTATAAAACTTAAAAGCTATAATTTATTTTATGATGACCATGATATCCATAATTCTGCATCGAATTAAAATACAACTTTGATATATTTTTCCTTTTGTTGTAAGTGATAGAAATATCCATTTGTAAATACATTATAACTTTAGTTTTTATACTATCCATATGTTGGTAGAGTTAGATATCAAGTTTCGTGACTTATTTTGAGGATCCATAAAAATATATAGTTCTAATACCTATTTAAGTCAGCAAGGGATTAGTTATCGTCATGAAAGAATTGTTTTTTCCTTTGATAATTATAACCGAGACTTGATTTTCACATGGCAACCCTTGTTGAGGGTTACACGGGTATATGCGGATATCTTGGAGATACATTTATTTTAATTAGATTGAATAACAAACTAATCAAGATTTGAGTTCATGGTTTAATTAGTTATTAGGCCATTAGCCGCCCTAGGTTCTAATAATAATAAGTTCAATTTCTATTGAAAACTACTTCAACAATTTAGTGGTAGAAATATCCATGATATATTGTATTAGGCAAGATCAAGGTTTCAAAGATCCATGATATATTTTATTTATTACTTAATTTTGTTTTTAATGTTTATAAGACTAAATAAATGGAAACACTTCATCCGAAAGAAAAAAATTAAAAAAACTCACAGAGGGATTGCCATGCGAGCGGGAGAAGGAACGGAGAAAAAAAAGAACGAACCCCACACAAGTCCAATAGCCACCGCAAACGGCCCATCACGGCATCACCCACGGGCCACGACCTATCAGGCCACCATCCCACGATCGACATATAAAATCATCGAACCCTAACACCCTGCTCTTTGCGACCCCGTCCCTAATCCCTTGCTCCTGCCGCCACCACCCGAGTCCCATGCTCAGTCTAAGCTCGCCGCTCTCAGCGCCATGCTCCTCTATCCTCGCACGGCCCGCTTGAGCGTGAGTAGGGCGCGTCGGCATGGGTGAGTGCCAGCGCGAGCATGGAGCTACGGTGGTGAGAGCCTCGGCCAAGTCGCCAAGGAAGGCAACGCCGACTAAGAGGTCGACGAGCCAAGCAGCGCCGATTCGGTCAGGGATGGCCGGATCTACATGCGCTACGAGCCAAACAGAGTCGATTCGTTTTCATATATCTACATGCACCAAATCGTTGTACTGATTTGTGTTAGGCTTCGGATTGAGAAATATTTTTGGGAATTTCAATCTTAGATTTACAATTGCTCGATTCCCCTTCCATTCATGTGCTGCACATGATCCTTTCTTATTGGGTGTTTGGATCGAGCATTGGCGATGGGCACCAACTTCTCTTGTATGTCGTTGACGTCTCTCTTAAGATTTGATTCGATTGTGTTTTTTTCTGTTGGGATTGAAACTCCTGGTCATGCAGGACTTGACTCTCGTGTGGCAAAGTCCATGTACGTTAAGAAATTTGTGTTCGATTTGGTTCGATCTGGTCGTCCATGGTGGTTGAAACCAAATCGATGAGAGTTAGCAAAAATAGTTAAGGAAAGGCCAGACGAAAATTAGTACAGACGAAAATTGAGGCTGAAATTTTGCCCCTTCAATATCAGGGATAGATAAGCTAATTATAAAACTAATTTTTATAAAGGGAGATTAATTTACAATACGAATCTATTAAACCTAATTAATCTATGATTAGTCCATGTAATGCTATAGTAAACATGTGCTAATCAATGTTTAATTAGAGATTCGTCTCACAAATTAGCCACAACTCAACATTGAACTTGTCATGTCAATTAAAGTTCTATTTTTTTCTTTTAACTAGGTCATTTGATTGTGTAGTACACTTGGCCGAGAATTGATGTTTAATCTGAAAGCTCTAGTTTGGTTTTGGTGAATTGATGAAACCCTAAATGCTAACCTAGTTTATCTAAGTGATCATGGGATGTGTAGCATTATTTTAAGTGGTGAAGAAACGGTGAAGATCATGATGATAGTGATGTCATGGTGATGATCAAATGCTTAGACTTAGAAAAGAAGAGAGAAAAACAAAAAGCTCAAGGTAAAGGTGAAATTTGATAGAAGTTTTTTGGTTTGATGATCAAGACATTTGGTGAGTGTGATCACATTTAGGATCGATAGTCATACTATTAAGAGGGGTGAAACTCGTATCGAAATGTAGTTATCAAAGTGCCATTAGATGCTCTAACTCATTGCATATGCATTTAGAAATAAAAGAAGAAGAAGAAAAATGAAAAGACGGATGAGAAGAAGAGTGTGGCATTCAAGGCCACATCATCCAAGGACAAGGCAAAGCAAGAATCATTAAGTGAAGATGAAGACTT